CATAGTTCAACGTGTTTAATGTAACTCTGTGTTGACATGAAACAAAAGTACAAAATTTAATTGTGCTTTTCCCTGCCCTACTTTACACATTTAATCTTAAACTCTCCAGTTTTTTTGCTGTCAGTTGCTACCCCCGCACCCAGTCTCTCTTGCTCACCCCGCTTTTCCTTTTGTTACAGTACACCTTTAATCATCCTCCCCATGCCAGATGTGTTGCTTACATGTGCTGTGTCCTTGGGCTGTGCACCTGAACTTTGTCCCATGTATTGTATTTGAACAGTAGAAGGTCTCCTGGACAAGGATCTGTACTTCCCTAGGGCTGTCTGTATCCGGTATCTGTCATCAGCATCCTGCATCTAGTGCCTGACCATGTACTCTAACTAATGGCATGGTCTTTGTTTGCCCATAGGCAATTACTTGCATCTATCATCATCTCAAATGAGCATTTTTAGGTAAAATCCATTTTCTAAGATGTCAGTCTGGCTTCCTTTGTGAACACTGTTTGCAGAGAAAGGATTATTCAGAATTGTTGGTATGACGCCTAGTAATCAGAAATACCTAAGCTGTGTCACAGTGCAGGAATACCCAGTTTAAAATCCAGTTCTCATTTTATTTAGTGGCCTGGAGTTCAAAAGTGGATTGTTCAATGTGTGCTCATTAGAGACTGATTGATTGCTTAACTCTATGAACGTGAGTTTGGGGATGAGGAAGGCAGGAGAGGAATTTGCATTTCCCAAGACAGGGCATCTGAACCACATCCCACTTTGGAGTTAGGCTGTAGTATTTAATTATCATACGTTTCCCCATCTATTTTTGTTGTGTAATAAGAAGTGTAATTTTCTCCTGATCAAAGACATTGGCAAATGCTGGGATACATCCAGAGCCATGCACATTATAAACTGGTTCTGTGGTGGCCACTGGGTACTTACGAAGTGAATATGGGGCGATTTTCCTGGCAAGTTACTGCCTCTGCAGCCAAGAGTGGCTAAAGCATCCTGTGTCACAGTTAGATGGACAACACCAGCATTTCCATCTTGAAGACTTGCTTCTTGTTAATAGTGAGTGTATCTATAGAGGCTGAGTTTGTGGTAGAAAGAAGGAAGCTGGATTTTGTGCTTATTATAAAACTGGAACTTGGCAAGATGTCCAGAAGGTAAGTTGTAAGTGGATCTACAAGCCAGCTTGGCCTGTTGTGAAGGTTTTAACGTCATTTGATGATGATATCCTAGATGAAATGCTAATTGGTTTGGAAGCAAATTTAAGTGACCTTCTGCTTTGCTTTGGGAGTAATATCCATACATGCAAATCAAGCAGTTTCCTGAAACTATGTAATTATACACTGACAAGTGTTCTACTCAAATCAGCTTCCATGTTTCATAATTCCTTGAAGTGCCCAGCCCCATGGTGGTGTGCCTCAGAGGATTATTCATAACTGGTTCTACAACAACAGAATAAATAGTATTTAGAAGCAAATCAATATTTGCTATCTCCAATTTGCTGTTGAACATAGAGGCTCTTAGGGATTGGCTTCCTGCAGGTGATGCAAACACTAGTGACCTTTGAGGAGATTTGGGAGGGGGAGAAATTGCATTAACAAATGCCCAAGGAATTTCTAGACTGATGGGGAAGGAAATAGTGCCACACAGGAAAGCAGCCAAACTCCCTTGTGCATTAGCAGCTTAACCTTGAATTTTGCCCAAGTGGTTTTTGAACTAGCTTAGTTTTACTCTTTGAGGAATTAGTTGTCTTTGCCGTACGATTTTATGAAGCAGTATGTCTTTGTGAATATTGAATACTGACTAGGGTGCAGTTACTGGGGCTGAGCCAAATTCTGCCAAATTCTGCTGTCCTCTAGGACACAGCTGTGGGGCATAGATCTGTGGGGTATACAATAGGGTACACCCAATCCTAACAGTACACCTTTTTCTTCTCCAATGGCTTCTTTCCCTCTAAATTATTGCAGTTAATGCCTGTCAGTGCCCTACCCATGCACTTTGATAAAAACACTGTGCCTCTTACACCCTCCTGTGAAAGCATGTTGTAGTTGGGCTTACTGGAAGAGTGTGGAAGACCCAGCTTCTGTGAGCGGTCAGAATTTGTCTCTATAATTTTCCTCTTATATCAAAGTCTGAGCTGAGCTGAATCAAAAAGGCAGTTCCTGACTTTTTACCTTCCAGCATTATATCTTTCAATTCAACCCTCACAGCAGGCATCCTTCTTTTCCAGTATAGGATTTGTTTACAGGCCGGCCATATGGTGGGTGTAATTATTATTTTATAATAGTGTTATTGCTCTCTAGCTGCCCAGTAAACACAGTGCAGTTTTAGTAAACTATATGCGTAAGTATAGGAACTTTGGACTTGAATGATTTTCTTCACTTTCATATAATATTAGGTGTGAAAGAGAAAAAAATATTCTATTTAATTTATAGAAACTGCGTAAAGTTTATAGAGTCTCTACAATCATCTTAAATGAAAGGATTGTGGAGAGGAGGGGCTGTACTGAAACTGGGAGGTCCCCAACACTGGAGCAGAATAGCAGTTAAAGGTGCACACCAGTAAATACCTGTGCTGAACTTTTCCCATTAAATCTGCCATCCAGCATATGGACTGCATTAGGGGTTTGTGTGCCTTGGGGATTTTATAAACACATTTCCTCTCCTGTCCTCTTCCCCTTCCAGTTACTGTTGCTTTAGAATTTTACAGAATCAAATAGTGCCCATTCTGGGGTCATCACTCTTCCTGGAAAGAAGCTGTTTGCCACAGAGACAAATTCATCTCAGAAACCTGTCTATGTATGCAAGTGCTTTCCTGAATGTGCCTTTTTTTAATGTTTGGTGTGTGAGCTTCCCAAAGCAGTAATACCAGCTTGGCTCACCCATCCTTTGAGGCATATGTGCAACTCCTGATTTGCATCGTGGCAGAATTTCTGCAGCAAAATTAGGAGCCAGTGTGTGCTCAGTTTTATGGATGATCTGTAAATAAACACAGCTCTCTTTTGCATCCTTATTTACACTGAAAGTGAAGGTTGCCAAAGTGACTGGTGAAAAATATGACAAGAAACGAAGCCTCTGATGAGACCAGAAAACACTGTATTTGCTTCTGTAAATTCTTCTATGCTACCTTTTTGATTTTGATTGACATTGGAAATCTTTATATCCAGCCCATTTGATAATGTCTCCTTTTTCTTGTCTGAAGCCTGGCACTGGTGCCCATCCAAGCATTCCTCAGCATTTCAGACAAGTTTAATGGGTGTTGCCTATGCCTACTGCTAGCACCTGTTCTGTACACCTGTATTTGAACAAAAAGAAGTATATCTGGGAACAATTCTAGCTTAACCTCCACCCACTGTCAAAGGTTAATTTTAACAGCTCGATTGTCGAAGTTACACCCTGGGTGACACACAGCACTTCTGCTGCTCAGCCGTGGCTGTGGGAGTGAGTGCATGGAAACCCAGTTCTGAAGCTGAGGTGCTGAAGAAAGCGAAGCCCAAGAAATATGTGACACATCTCTCAGTTTATTGTGCTTTGAGATTTGTAGGTGGTAAATGCTGTGGGTGTTTTTTACAGACACTCCGGAGTCCTAATATAATTTACAGTTTCATTGGGAGAGAGCTGTTTCAAATCTTTGCACATTCTTCTAAGACATTTTAAAAGAAAAGCCAACAGCAATAATTAGTTTGGCATTTTCTATGTTTTCTAAAGCACTTAAAGGGTAATGACTTTTTTTAACCAATCTTGGAGAAAATCAGGTTTTATGGAATAAGATGACTTAAAAGGGCTGAATGGACATCAGTGACAGATGTACTTCATGCTGAAAAGCTCTATTCCACTACATCAAAATAAGGAAAACAGTTATACATGATTAGAGGCTGCTGACCCTTTGGTTCAAATGATCAAAAAGAACAATATTAAAGTTTGATTTACAGAAGCTACTGCTTGGCCTGTAATCAGTCTGACCAATAAAAGCAATCCAGACTTTTTCAGAATGTGATTTCCCAATAGATAGGTTAGCTGTTTTTGTAGGACTGAAGAAACACAAAATGGTTTAAAAATATATTTGATATACTCTATGAGTAAATTGAAATACTAGCATATAACTAGTTTTAATGGGTTTTGTTCATAAATTGCCAGATTTCCTTAATTCAAGTGAAACTTGGTAACCACATGAGAATAATTGTCTTTAAAGTGAAATATTGCTTTGACAGTCTACTTCATTTATATTAAATATATGGTTTACTTTTTTATATTAGAAAGTAAATGAAAGCTGGTCAGTAATATGATTCTCCTTACACTCTTGCCATAGTTCACTATGGAAATGGATTCAGGAAATGGCAGATGTGATTAAAAACTCTTCAGCTGGCCCAAGAGCTGTTTGTACAGCACCCAGAGCACAGCACAGTTCTGGCGAGGACAAGCACTCCTAGTCTTATTGCAATATAAATAAAATTATTCTTCAGTCTGGGGACTTGGAATTTTGATTCTAAATGCACTAGTTAGGAGACTGGGAAGATGGGATTTCATGAGGCTTTTCCTTTCATAAATATGAAGACAAAATTGTTGTGTTGGTCCTGTTACCATGTGCATGCAAACGCATTGGAATCCACGCCAGCCCAATTTGCATGAGGGTGTCAGAGCAATAACCCTATAAATTGACATAGAAGGGTCAAGCTGCCTGCTCAGAGGGTGACAACACTGGAAAGCTGTGCACAGCACATAAATGTTCACCTCGCAGAAGCTGAACACTGAAGATTGCAAAATTAAGAAATTCATTCCTCCTGCCTTTTAAATGCATCTGCAAATGCATTTAGCTCATGTCTGGTCAAAGAAATTGAACAAAACACTGAAACTGGACCTAATATCTCCTGATTTAGGATATATTTGTTTCATTCACCAAGTTCTCATGAATTCTAACTCTTTTGTGCATCATTTTCTGGAATTTACTACCAGTTTTCCCTCTTCTGGAAAGTTAAGTCCTGTTTTTTGTTTCTGATATTTCTAGTTGAACGCGAAAATGTCCAGAAGAGGACCTTTACCAGATGGATAAACCTGCATTTGGGAAAGGTAAGACTGACAAACAGTCTTGATATTGTGATACAAGGACATAGCCATAGACAGATTGCTGTTAACTCCTCTAAAGTAGTTAAATTTTGGAAACAAAGTTGACATCTGTGCACATTTGAAGGAGAATGAGTGGAAGCTCAAAGCCTGTTCCTGGATTAATTAAACTTTATTTCCAGGTATAATGAAGGCTTGACTATCATTTATCATCTCAGGTGCGTTTAAATCTTTAATGCCATTGCCTGTTATCATGAGGGTAGAATTTTCCCATAGAATGCACCCACATAAAATCAAGTATGGTTGAGGCTCTGAGATGATGATGTCTGTCTTCTTCCCTGAACTGGAAGTTTGAACATCTGAGGACTCGTGGCTAAAGAAAGCTGTTCTTCAGAACCTGTCTTCATCCCAGATCTGAAGATGGAAAACAGTAATTCCTTATCAGTCATGTTGTAGGGGGCAATATGATGGGATCTTCACATATCCACTTACATCAGAGAGCTAAGTTTGGACATCATATCTTTAAGTTGTAATTGTTTCTTAATGACACCATAATATGGCTCTTAAACCCAAGATATTGTTCTTATTGACAGAAGATAAGTACTACCTCTCCTCAGTAGTCTGTCATGCAGAGAATATTTTTTTTGCTGTTGAGGTAAAGAGAAAAAAAAAATCTTACTATTACTGAGACAGCAGCAACTCTTAGTGTAGGATCAAGGAATGAGACCAGCTTCCTGATCTAGACAGAGCCCTAACTCAGACTGGTGATTGAGCTTCATACATACAATACATACAATGCTTTAGTATGTGCAGCTAAATTTCAAAAAGTACAGAGTGGGTTTGGGCTGACTCTCAGTTTAGTAGCTCTTGAGAAGTGATTGCATTCCAGACACAGTAAAGTAGAGGGGTTTTAGAAGAAAGGCATCACATATATAGTTGCTTAAGTCCACTACTCTGCAGTGAGTGTTTTTGAAGGCATAAAGGGATCCCCTTAAATCTCACTGGAAAATCAGAATAAGGCTAGTTGGAAATGTTTTGACTAGCAATTGCTCCCAGAGGCCTCTCAGAACCAAGACAGTGTTACATGATGCCTTCGTGAATCAGGCTCTAGGGCTTTAAACTAACTGCAGGTTTGGAACTTGTCAGAAAGGGTTGTCAAAGAAGGTCTTTGATTTACTGAAGGAAGAAGGCTGAAAAAGGCTGAAAGGGTGCTGTTAATTCTAGTGTGCCAGGCATTTGAAGTCTTAGAACCTTTGTGAGCAGGTCAGCTTTCTCTGGAGTGCATACAATTTTTTTTCCTCTCTGATTCAATAAATAAAAATGCTTTTCCGGAGAAAGGGTGAAAGCCTTTTGCTTTATTAATGCTTTATTAATGTATTTCCTGGAAATGGCATAATAAACATAACCATGTAAACAATGACAGCTTCACTGAAGCTGTTTCTAATTACAGGTGATTCCCTGAGGAGACTCACTGAGAAAGGTGTCCTCTGCCTTTATCCTCAAAGAGGCACTTCTTACAGAGTGGCTTCTTTTCTTCAGAGGCAGCAATGAAGTCTTGTACTTCTTCAAGAAACTTTTGGTGTGATCCTACTTGGGTCATCTCTTGAGAGGATCTGGCTCTGCTGATCATGGGATAATTTGGAGTAGTCAGAATTTCTGAGTTTTGTTTGTTCTTGGTTTAAGTACTGAAAGAATAGAAAGTGTTTGGGTTTTACTCTTTCAGATAAGTTATTTAATTTTGAAAGGAAAGATACTTTGCTTTCTTTCATGGAGCATTATTTAGTCTTTTGGCTAGATTAAAGACCAATAATGAAAATGTGTGGTCCCAGTTTGCCAGGAGCAGTGCTGAATTGAACAGAAGTTTCTTGCCCAAGCAAAGATGAAAAGATTGGGCTCTTTAGGCACATGTGAGTGAGTGGCACCTAAGCGGACTGTAATTGCTGCAGCTGGGACTACCCCTAAGGGCTGAGCTGACTTGGCTTTGTGCCTTGAACTGCACAAATCTACCAACATCGTAGTGAAGTGAGGAGACAGTTCCCTTTGGAGGAGTTTGCTGAGAAAAGAGACACAATATAAGCAGTTGCTTTTTAAAGTACTTAGAAAATGCTGGGAGACAGAATGGCACCACCAGAAGCCTTTCACATGAGAAGGGACATTGTGGCTGGCTGGATCATGGGCTTATTTCTGCACAAAGTGATATTTGCTTCTTCTGCTGGACATGTCTTAGTCTAAGGGATCAGCACACAACCCCTGGTTGGTTATTTCTTATTTCTTAGGCAGAGTATTTAGGGTTAGATTCTGTTATGGGAAATCTGGAATAAGTCCTTGTCTGATTTCAGTTTTAGCTCCAACATTCATAGGACAGAATTGCCACCGATGTGAAGAACAATCAGCTCTTTCTTACAGCAGGCTATGATTTACTTCTTGTATCTCTGTCTTGTAAAATTCTCCTTCCATCTCTCTGAAATCATGATGATTTATTGTTTTAAAAACTATCTGGTTTCTTTTCTTCACAGTGCAAGCCTCCTTTGAAAGTGAAGGACTTGTTTATTGATATACAAGATGGCAAAATCTTGATGGCGCTCCTGGAAGTCCTGTCAGGACAAAAGCTGGTATGTACAGAGAGGGAGGAGCCTCCATACCCTGGAGCTGGGTATGTTACAAGCAACAGTGCCTGGATATCCAAGGAATAAGGGTGAATTTGGGCCCATGTCTTGCATAATGTAGTAAGAATTTCAGCAAATTTGTTGTAATTTCCTTATGTTACCGGTGGGTGTCCTGATACAATGTAGATTTCAAGGAAATAAGACAATGAGGTGTAAATGATGGGTGATCAGTGTAATGTTCCTACCCCTGAGGGTTTTTAAGGCTTTAATACTTTAATGCTCACACATTCCATTTGGGGATTATCCAAGTTACATTACCAAGAAAACACATATTTGCTGTATAATTTTTTTAATCCCTATGTTCTGTTCTATTTTGTCTAAGATCATTATGACACTCAGTAGTTCTTCTGATGCCTGCTGTAGGTCTGAGTTTCATTCATTGATTAGATGAATCAATGAATGAAATTCATTGATTTAGACCATATTAGTAAGACTAATGAAACCTGAGTTTCATCCTGGTATCCTGACTCAGGTTTCATTAGTCATACTAATACGGTCTAAATCAGCAGGGCAAAGCTTTACTAATCAGAAACTTCTCTCCTCCTTTCTTTGTAAGAGCTGTGTAAAGTTCCGCATACCAGAAATGGAACACCCAATGCAAATATAAATGCCCAGTTGACTTTAATGTTTTCTTTCTCCATCGATCCTGTCACTAGAACTCTCCTGTGTGTGGCTACCACACTTGGGTAAGAGGAGCAGCTGTCCCACCACTGCAGATGCACCTGGTGATGCTCTGTAGTGACTGACCACCTGCATACCCTGCAGCAGGAATGCCCCCAAATGTGTGCTCACACATTCAGAGTCAAGAATATTTTTTAATATTCTTGAAGTTTGGCAGAGCTGCAGCAGAAGTAGCAGTGTCTCTATGTGCATTAACACAGATTGCATTGAGGGCCAGGCTTGAAATGAATTGAAGGGGGAGATACATCATGGTAAACCCCAGGCTATGCTTTCACAGGTCAGGGAGGAGGTGAGAGAAGGGGGTAAAATCAGCTGGCTGCATTTCTTGCTAGCTGTTTCTGGAAACATGGGATAAAAACAGTGTGTCAAAGTGGAATTGCAGGGAGACAGGCATGCAAAATCTTTCATTTCTGCCAAAGTGAAGGTTTTTTGCCTCCCACCTGCCTGTGCCTGCTATTAAAACCGCTCATGCTTCCTAATTAGGATAATTTCATTTAATTCAAGACAAAAGAAAATATTTTATTATGAATTTTCAGGCAAACCTGTTCCTGTGACTGAACATGGCTGGGGAGTGATTACATACATAATCAATGTGGCAGGTCCAAGAGAACGGTAACATCTGGAGAGCAGGAAAGCTGGTTGCTCACCCTGTTTTGCTACAATCTTGTAGTTGAAGCATTTTGCTGCTCACAAAAGATGGCAATAATTTTTCATAGATAGATATCCTTAGCTTTATTTTGCCTCAGTGCCTGTAGTGTTTTAAGCTTTGTATGATGTGATGAATAATTCCACCAGTTTTAAAAACAGTGTGGCAATATTTTTTTCTAGATGCACGAATACAAATCTTCAACCCATCGCATTTTTCGTTTGAACAACATAGCCAAAGCACTTAAGTTCTTGGAGGACAGTAATGTGAGTATTTTAAAGACTGGTCTTAATATTTTCTCTTGATGTATGCTGCAAGTTGTAATTGTTGCTAATCTGATGTGCTGCATATATGCAAGAGGAGTGTACTGCTCAAGAGGCTGTGACTTACCTTAGCAGCAAGGCTGAAAAGCCACATAAAAATGCACAACAAGAACACCTACAGAGTCTAAAGCAAGGATTATTTGCTCATTTTATATGTTAGAGTTCAACAGGATTAAAGGATCAGGAACCCAGTATTAAAAGAAAATAAAAAGAAATGCAAGTAATTTTTATGATCTGGGTTTTAGTGGCATTACTTCAGTTACACTGATGGTAGATGACTTTCTTTCCTCAGAAATACTTTCACTTATAGAAATCATCTATTTATCTGGTATACTGATTGCTGCAGCAACTGATCATGAGTCAAAAGCAAGAGAAAGTGAAACTGGGAATATGATATAAATGCATAATTCCAGGAATCAAAGCCTTTCAGGGATATAATTTCCCTCATAGTGCGTGTTGTATACCACAGCATCACTTTCTACAGTGGTAAGTGACCAAGTGTGATCAGACCCTGTAGCTGGAAATGATTCATTTCTTATTCCAAAGCCCTGTGGAAGTGGCCTGTGTGTTGTTGAGAGTATACATGGTATACTTAGATTCTCTAGAAACAGTAAACAGATATTGGGCTATTTCCTATGAAGGATTCAAGTAAGGTTAAACTTCATGGCTGAGGAGGGATCAGTGTGTGCAAAACCCTGCCTTGCATGGGATGCTCCAACAGCAATTGGTGTCACTTTGCTGCTTCCCTGCACTGAGCTTAGCTCCTGCTCCAGCAGCAGTGCTTGTCATGCAGGAGAGCTGCTGCAAACCCCAGTGCAGGAATAAGCACGATATGAGGTCTCAGCACATCTCTTGTGACTTTGTAGGTGTGGGAGGTTTAACATCCTTTGCCTTTTTCCCCAGGAGAGGATGTGAAAGGTCAAGAAGTTGTCCAGTAACTTCCAGGTGTTCCAGCCTCCCTATGGAAACTCCATCAGTAGGGGCTGATCTGGCCCTAAATGTGTACGTCTACACGTCCTCCTGTAGAACTGCTAAGAAATATTTTACATATTTGCATATTTCTTAACAGTTTCCCAGTTGATGCTTTTTACCCAAATCCAGCTAAGGCCCACTGGCAGATGAGATGATTTCTCTCTGTTGGTACCAGCGCTTGGCAGAGCTGCAGCTGAAGCTTTTCTGGTTGCCAGGACCTCACTAGGTCCTCAGTCAGCGAGGCCAGGAAGGAGGAACCTTGAATGCAGGTGGCTTTTTAATTAGTAGTGCTAAAAACTACTTTCCTCTAGATTTCCTGTTCCCTTAAAAGTAAGCAGTCAATATCTTCTAACTGATTATCTCTTCTGGGCTGGGTGACAAACACGAGCAACAGTAAGAGGATGGAGCTCACACTAAGCAGTGAAATGATAAATGTGACTTGCTCCCCGTTTTGGAGAAACTGTTATTCAAATGTACTATGTCCTAAAGGTTTTCCCATGCCAAATACCTTGGAGCTAGCAAGAAATCTGATCCTTGAAATATGACAACTAGAGATGTCTTCTTGCTAAGACTGAAAATGTTTTGCAAACCACCAGATAAAAAGTTATTTTGCTTTCCTTTTTTCAGCTTAACCAAACCGGTTAGTGAAGGGCGGTGATGAAAGTGTTGGCAAAATGCCTTGGCTGCCAAGAGCTTCAGGGTTAGCTATTAAACCCCAGTGGGTGGAACCCGACAGTGTCTGTGGAGCTGGGGCAGCAGGGTAGAGCCCTGCTGGGTGATTCATCGTGTCCGGGACTTCTCAGAGATAAATGGGCTGCTGGGCCTTAACTCGGTCTGGGTGCCATGTGCAGTACTGACAGCTTCCTTGTTTCCTCCCTCCTCCCTGACCGTTGCCAAAACCAAATCTGTGTTGTCTAAGAGAATAACATCCTGGTGTTATCAGCTGGAAAAAACCTCAGTGTGGGAAAGTCTAGAGTTTGCTTGGATTAGGCAACCCTATCCGTTGCTAACTGATTTAATGAGAACTCTGTGACAAGCTGTGTAAGGTGGGATAAGGAAGGAGAAAGGAGATGCATAGAAAAAAAGAAGTAAGCAGATATTACTAGGATTTTAGATTTTTTATATGAGAAATTACTCTCTACTTTTGTGAGTGGGGTCTACTGGATGGGGCCCCATCTTCCTCCATTTTTGTATGGAGGAAACGCACTTGTAGTCCCAAAAATGCAGAATTGAGTTAACTTCTGTTCTGCAGAGTATACTGGGGGTTTCAGATAGGAGTTCCAGGAGAAGGATGATTGTGATCAAGGCAAATTTTCATTAATACAAGATTGCAGCATTGCTTTTTTGCTGGCCTGTCAGTGGCAACAGTGGTATGGACATATCCAGTAGTCCCAGTGCATTTTTTGCATATAACTTGCTGCTTTGAATTTGGCACTGAATTTGTGATCTCTCCTACAGGTAAAGCTTGTTAGCATCGATGCAGCAGAAATAGCAGATGGAAATTCCTCTCTGGTACTTGGACTAATATGGAATATAATCTTGTTTTTTCAGGTAATAAAATTTGAATACTTTAACCATAAGTAATCAGTCTTCATGGTATCCATCTATTCCAGATGAATACTGATTTTTAAATTGGTTTTTAATCCTAAAGAACATAATTAATCATGCTAAACCTGAGCTTTTCCCCTCCTAATATACACTAATTTTATACTTGCAGCTGCTTTCATTTTACTTCATTGGACCTATTTTGATGTAAATTGGAGACAATTTAAGCCCTCATTTAACTTGGACCTGAATTAGAGCTTCAGATTACTACTTTCCCTTCTTTCCTGTGCCTTCTCAGGGTTCTGTTCCAGATTCCCTGGATCTGAACCAATGTCCTGGGTATGGTTCCAGGTCACAGTTTATTTTCAATAACCTTTACTGGATTTGGTCCAATGTGGTGGGAAATTCCATTTAGAATCACTGTTCTCTGGAGACTTACTCAACACAGCAAAAATTTGCAACTGATATACATGGTCATATGAAAGATCTCAAAGGACCTGGAACTGATAACACGTATTTGAGCCTGAAAGTTGATTTATCCCCAGGCTTATATTAAAACTGCTCCCTAACCTACCCATAGTTTGAAATTACCTTCTAGACAATCCCAAATTCTAAAGGACAGAGAGAGATGGAGGGAGGGTTCTGCAACTCTCATAAGACTGTGAGGCCCTTTCATTCTCTTGGTCTGATTTAAAAAATGGCTATAAGGTTAAAAACATGATCTCAGAGTTGCACTGGGGCTTCTCTCCCTGGCTGAGCTCCTCAGGCTAAACAGTGCTGCACAGAACCAGTGTGGCCACGCAGACTCACAGGCAAAGATGGTGTGACCAGAACCTGTTACCCTGGCAGCAGAGGGCACAGGGGGACCCAGAAGCAGCAGAGTCTCAAATGTAAGTGCTGATCAAGGACAGGAGTGCTGCTGCAGGTCACCATTTCTTGACAAAAAATATTTCACTCAAGCAATCCCTGTGAACAGAACAATTTCACTTAAACTAACTTTTCTTTCAAGGACATGTTTCTTTGCTTTTTGTTTAATTTGTGCAGTTTGGCCTGATCTGGGAGCTTGCCCTTTCTGTTGCCTGGGCTGCTGCTGGCTGTCATGCTTGTAAAATACAAGTTGAGAGTTAAAATGAACTGGTTTATAATTATCACTTAAAATTCAGTTATGGCACTGATCTCTTTAAAGTTTGCATGAAAACAAGGACACGATGCAGCCAGTGATAAAGCAGAACACTGTGTATTTCACCTTTTATTACAGATTAAGGAGCTTACAGGCAACCTCAACAGGAACTCCTCCTCCTCCAGCCTGTCCTCTGGGCCCAGTGGTCCAGAATCAGACACATCCCCCAGCACTCCCAGCGTGGAGAGAAACATGTCCATTACAGTGAAGGATCAGCGGAAAGCCATCAGGGCCCTTCTAATCTGGGTTCAGAGGAAAACCAGAAAGTAAGCTAACAAACCCTTGGACAAAACAGTGTCTTGCCACCTGCCCCTCTGAAGCTGAGTCTCTTTTCTCTGTCCTGCCCCATGGGTGTGTTACCATGTGCTGTGGCTTCTTCTGCTTTTGAAGCTGGGGAGCCCAGGGTCTCTGCAGGGGGGTGTTTCACTATGACCATGTGTTCACAGCAGCCATCTGACCTTGAAGGCAGCGCTGGCTCCATGGTTTGAGTGTTAAATGTTAACTTACACTAACCTGCTTGGTGCTGTTTAAAACAGGATCATTCTCTACTCCCCAAACCCCAGCTTTCATGCAGTCTCTTTGACATCTTTTGCTGATTAAAAGTTAGGTATAACCAGGGGGTGAACTGAAAAAATAAATGTACTGAAAGACTTTATCAGCAGCCTTTTAAATTAAGCAGTAGCCCAGAGGAAGCTTCTCTGTGCACAGCAGAGTGCCTTGAAAGACAGAGCCCCTACTAGAGTCCCTCCTTCCTCAGTATTAAAGAGGGGAAGAGGATGAAACTTAAGTCACTTCTCTTGAACTTGTAACATTTGAGTGGATTTCCACTGCACAAGACATCTCTCTCCTCTTTAATAAAAAGTGGTTCTTTCACCAAAGCATTTTGTGTAGTAATGCTTTATCCTGGCAGAGTTACTGACAGGTTAAAAAACTGTAGTGTAAGATGTCTCATGTACATGCAAATGCTTGGAGTGTATTTTACATGTATTGTTATTTGAACTGGCAGAGAGTTTTAAAGAGGGCACGTGTCAAAGTTACTTATATAGGTTGGTTAGCTGAGTATTTGGTGTTTTTGTCTCTGGATTTATATCTTGCCTTTGAACACAAATTTTCTAGTATTGAAGACAAAAATTTATATCTTACATACTTGGTCCTGTGGACGGCATCCTCCCTTGGTTATCCCCAGTGAAGCTTAGGGTGCTTGTTGAGCAGATAAACTTGCCCCCTGTAGTTCACTGCTGCCAGTGCAGACCATAGAGGAAGTAGAATTTTAGTCCAAAATAATGTTGATGTTGTTATTAATACGTGGTACAAAGAAAGTGAGGACCTGAGAAGTACATGCCACAGACTTTTCAGCCCAGTCAAAGAGTGCAAATTGAAAAGATCTAATAAGAGAAAATTGTTCTTGCAACTGCAGTATTTAAAACATAATAGCATCATTGTAATCCTGTTATCTCATGATCTGTGCAGAATTTTCTATTCTTGGGCTGTATTCCATTGTAAGTTTGATGGCTGTTTTTCCTCCAAAACTTTGGGCATCTAACACTCTTGTGGTTTATGCATATGCTGACACCATTTGCATTTGGCAGATTTTCTGCTATAGAAGGCCAAGTACACAGGAATGTGAATCATTTATGCTTATGTGTTTAAATATTTAAATCTTGGAAGTATTCCCAAGCTATGGCATTAAAATGCTGGAGAGCAACAGAAACAGGAATCACAGAGACATTTGGTTTTGTGAATGTTAAATGTGGTTGCTGAATTCTTCAGGGCTTTGTTTTTACTAACTGCTTCCTACAAGCAGGTTGGTGTCAGCTGTTAGCCACACCAATTCAGTTTGTGAACCCATGTGTTTTCTGAATGTATTTCTAGATGTTGAAATCCAAAAATAACTCAAATATGACAAGTGCTACTCAGCAACCTTACATTTTAACTTACAGGAGTCTGAAAATGATGATGCCTTTACTTTGGATTTTGTAACAAACCACCCATGTAAAATGTATGTAATTCTGTTCAGGTATGGCGTTGCCGTCCAAGACTTCACAAGTAGTTGGAGGAGTGGCCTCGCTTTCTTAGCTGTCATAAAAGCCATAGATTGTACTTTGGTAGACATGAAGCATGCACTGGAGAAATCAGCACGAGAAAACCTGGAGGATGCTTTCAGCATAGCACAGAATAAACTGGGTGTCCCTCGGCTCCTGGAACCTGAAGGTAAACACATCAACTTTGGTGGGTAACACTCAGACTACAGTGACTTCATGAATATTGCATTGTGATACATACCAAAACCTCACAGTGATTAGGCTGCCGATGGGATCAGTGTGCTGAGCTTGTTTATGAGAAAAACTAAATGGTCAGTGGCTTGTAATTGTATGCTTCCAGTCATATTTGTAAGCTCCTTGAGGTCAAAGATCTTACCATGGTTTTAGCTATGTTCATGCTTAGATGCTTTGTGACATCTGCATTCTTAGAGGGCATTAATTGTTGTGCTGAGGGGTGTCTCAGTGCATTAGCACTGTTCTGTAACACCTAGGCTGCAGAGACTAAATGTCTCTCCAGGGTGAGCTGTACGAGGCTGGCACACCAGGCAAATGGAGAGATACCCATTCAAATGCATCTGCATCTTCCAGTTTTCCTTTTACAGTGCATATATACACAAAAGTATTTATAAATGTAAACCTAAGTGGTGTGTATGTGTATATAAAATATGTATAAATGGATTTCTTGTCGTTCTTTTTACTGAACGCTATGAGACCGGCGCTGGGCCTTGGTGTCATGATTGAAAGCACAATTGCACTTTCATCACCTGTTAGAAGACTGGGCCATCCTGCTAAAAATAAACCTCTGTATTGTTGCTCAACAACAGTCAACTGTCTAGTGACAACAGCATAAATGGCAGTATAAAAGTGAATGAAAAGGGAGCCCTGATCGGGGTTCAGTATGTGTTTGGAAATAGGAAAAAATGAATGTGAATAGGATATTGAGAACTCTGTCAAGTGCCATCAGCAGTGAAGAGCATCTCTCTTATCTGTCAGAAAAAAAAAAGAAGTGTTTGTAGCTGTTATTTCTGCACCCATAATGGCAGGATAAATGTCTGACAATCTGTTCCTCTGCAAGAGCGTTTCAAAGCTGTGCGTGCTCAAGCCCCTCGCGTCTGTCTCCGCAGATATCATGGTGGAGTCACCCGATGAACAGTCAATTGTGACATATGTGGCACAATTTCTGGAGCACTTCCCAGAGCTGGAAGGGGTATGTGTTTACTGCTATGTCATGCAATTTCTTTAATTTGCCTTGGTGTACGTAATAAAGTCAGATTTATTTTCTAGGTTTCTTTCTTAGCTATTTAAAATAAACAACAAACCTGGATTTAATTTTTCAGATTTTTGTTAAATCCAGTGAAATGGGCTTTCATTTGATTACTAAAATGCTGATTTTAGTAATCACCAGTGAAATGGTGATTACTAAAATGCTTTAGGTAGAATTGTGCTTTTATACATTTACATCCAGTTGTAACTCTCAGAGGTTAGAATTGGTTTCATATGAATCTGCTACTTTGCTATATCGATTTTCAGTAAGGCTGAAGTTTATTCCTTTATCTATAATGATTCATTGGACTTCAAATTTAATTTTTACTTCTATCTTCTCAAGTTTGAGGGCCATGATCAGTCTTAGTTTGGCATGTATGAAACACAAGACATCAAAAGCTGAATCTTGTCAATACAACAGTAAAAAGCACTCATTATAAATATGAAATAAACTGCAGTTTAAGTGACTGGGACTTTGATCCAAAAATAAAGAATTGAGGATTAAGCAAGGGTTGACAGTGTCAAGAACTGGCAAAGGCCTTTTGGAGAAAAAGGCATTTTCTCTCATTTCTTTACTGAAGGTTGCAGTTGGCATATATTTTGTAATTGACAAAATTGGTAGGCATTAGTAAAGTAATTGGAATTAAAATTATTATAGTAATCTAATAATTATTATCAGATTAGATGAGCAATAAGACTGGTTGACATTAAGACTTGTTGACATTTTTATAAACTAAGCTAAAAACGGCCTTTCTTTTAATAGAGTCTATTGCAAGGAAATAATCTGGTATATCAATATATTTCACAGTGGATTTATTGCAGCTGTTAGATTTATGTTATTCCCAGGGTTTAGGATTGTGTCAAAAAGCCAAGTCAGTTGTCTCCACAGGTGCAGCAGGGAGAAATAAATACAATAACTATTGAGGAGTAGGCTTGTCTGCATTCTGATCTTCCTGTACAACTGCCTTCTTGACACTGAGCTTTGTTCAAGGCACTTGACTTGCCAAATTATTTTTCCTACTTTGAAAATAAGTGAATCATTAATTGGCCATTCATAAGGTAATGGACTGAAAGGCTAGGTATTTATTTTTTCAGTTGTGTTTGAGAAACGTAAAATGGTATCTGACCAAGGATTTGTCTTCTAATGGTGCGTCATAACTTACAGGAAGACTTTACAGATCCTGACAAGGAGCTTCCAATTGAGTCCACATATGTCCACATCAAAGACACACCGTCAGAGAAGGAAGGCAAAATCTTGATTTTAAGTGAAAATGAAGAAAACATGTATACTGTTAATCATGAGAGGAGTCATCCTGCTCCTCCAAAGGTCCATATTCATGATATCCCTGAGAGAATCCCATCAGAAACCACTTCTGAAAATTGTAATGGAAAACTGAGTCGAGTGTTAGGTGATGTACAGGGAACATCTGAAGAGGAGCCTCAAAGGCCTACTTCACTGAAAATTACAGGACCTGTCAGTTTTGAATCCAATTCCTCTTGGGAGGTTCAAAATGATAAATTCATGTCAGGTGAAGAGAGCATCTCAGATGATCCACTGAAACAAAATGATGAGCTTTCTCCAGCTGTTCTGACAGATCAGAAAGATTCTGTTGACTCTTTTGAAGAATACTCTGAAGAATTAACTAAGGAAACCCCTACTGAATATGACAATGAAACCAAGAGCCTTTCAGCCAATACTTCTTCTTTGAGTCCATTATCCTGGACTTCAGGTATACTTACAGATGATTCTATTAATAAAGTTGAAGAGAGCAAACCCCAGTCTTCAATTCTTTTACCAGAAGATACATCAAAACAAGAAGATACGCAGAAGTACGTTCTCCACCTTCTAAATGAAGAAATTCAGACGCTTCCACAAGATGAACATACAAAGGAATCTCCTGTCCTTGAGACAACAGAAACGAACCCTTGTTCACTGAATGGTTCTAATCTCAAAAGCCAAGAACTATCTACACAGCATGAAACATCTGATGACTCTCTCTCAGATATACCTAAAACTCCAGAGGACCTGGACAGCTGTGACGAAGTTGAATCTGCAGCTGAAGTGCTACCCAGTTCTTCAAAAGTATCTGTGATACCCCATGATCTCTTTTATTATCCACATTATAATGTTCCCATATCAGCAGTTCTGAACGCTTACCTTGAGCCTTGTATCGAAGGTTATGATACAGGAAATGGAAAAGCTTCTTCTGAAACAGTAACAGATGTTTTACATGACAAGAACTTAGCAGAACAGGACCACAAGGAAGATGCTCCAGAGCCAGACTTGGAGAATAAGCTAGGTACCCCTCCATCAGAAACAGATACTGAGAACAGCGAGGAGGAAACTACAAAAACAAGCAGTCATGTGAATTCTTCCGATGAAAAAGAAGTGCCATTACTAGTAGAAGAGTTAGAAATAGAAGAAGATGGCGATAAGGCCACCAACCATGAAGATTCCACTATTCCACAACATCCTGAGGTATTTTATTTTATTACCAGCATTTCTTTGTGTATATGTGTGGACTTAGCATCAGATCCCAGTGGTTTTCATTTGCTTTCATTTTGCAGTGTTTGGGAGAAATACTTAAAATGTACTTGGTTTCCTGTTCCATTACACTGTTTGCCACAGCCCCCTACTGGAATGAATGGAATTGCAGATCCCTGAGAAGATCTGACATTATAAGAGAAAATACGTCCTAATAGTAATGGCACTGCAAAAATGTGAATTTATATTATGTTTTTAAATAATTTGAGGCTTCTGTAATCCCTAAGCATGAAAGATTACCTTAAAGTACAGCAAAAATGTGCCTTTTTATTATGTTTTAAAATAGTTAAGAGGTTTCAGTATAATCCTTAGGCAAAACAGATTACCAGAAAGGGTATTTCTAATAATCTGTAATGAGAGTAACAGAAATTAGTATTGCTTCTAAAGAAAGGATACAGGCAGTGATAATTTTGTCTCAATCCAAGTAAGTTTGCCTATAAAAACTTAGAAAAACAATTTGAGTAGGATAGGTTACATAAGTGAAATGAAGGCTTCTGTGCACTGGAGGAGAAAGAAATGGGTACTTTGAGGGTATTTGGTTTAGGCAGTTTGCTTCTGCATCTCTTCTTGCAGACACCAGTTTTGAAGTGCCTTACGTGTTTTCCAGCACAGTAATTTCTGACAGCGTTTTTCAGGAATGAGTGTCCATTTAATGCTGCTCTACATGTTGCTTAGACATGTTGCTTGAACATGTTTTGGTCCTGACTCTGACTACAGAAATGAAGTCAGTTTGCTGTTAACTTGAAGGGCTAATTGGGGGTAGATTTAAAAAAAGTCTAGTGGATTGCTTCAAAGAGCCATGTCATGTCATGACTTCTTAATAGAAAGATCTGACTTTCCAACTGTATGTATGTATGTATATATGTTGAACTGATGATTCTGTGTATCACAAAAGATTTTCAAGAAATTAATTGCTTTTTTATTCTCTTCAGTGAGACTTTCAGTCTCATATTATCTGCAGTTGAGTGTCTGAGTAGGCTGCACCACTAAGATATTTGGAAGGGTGGGGAATCAGTCATGTTGCCTAAAGCAAAACACTTCCTAATTTCAACAGGCCATAGTAGAAAATCTAGAGGATTTACCAATAGCCATAAAGGCGCCAGAAGAAAATAGTAATACAGAGGAGGAAGAGAAAGATATGATTGAAGAAGCTTTGCAGATCTCAGAAGTTGCCACTACTACTCTATCACAAGATGACCTGGAAGAAAATGCTGAATTCCAGGAATTTACCAGGTATTCCACATTAACTTGGTCTTAAATACACGTAAGTGGTCTTTTGAAATTGCCCTGTCCATTGGATGTTTGTTGTAGTCTTGTTTTAGAAAGAAGTATTAAGATTCATTGGCTTCTTCCTGTGTTTCTCTTAAATATGTTGAGTGATTCAGTGGGACTTGATTTGACTGTGCTACAAAATTTGCCACACAAAACCCAAGTGGAAGCCCAGTGCACTTTGAACATGGAAGTGTTATAATTGCTTTCCTAACAGAGAGAGTATTTTGTAATGTAGATGAAATGATCCATGTGCATTATGACACTGTGTGAAAGCATAACACTGATTGATTTCAGAAGATACTTTTTGGTAGCTTTTTTCTGTTTATAAACAAGTAAATGAGGTGTTGGAGAGAAAATAAGATGAAGAACTCATGGGTCAAGGTAAAGGCATTTTAATGAGAAGGCAAAGGCCATGTGTGGAAGCAAATTAGAAGAAGACCAAAAAAAATTATTTATTCTCTACTTCCCATCAGCACAGCAGTGTCCAGCCACTTCCTGGGAAGCAGGGTGTAGTGACTGCTTCAGAAGACAGATACAAGAACAAGTGTGTGGGGGGGTGTCACTGCTCTTTGGTCAGTTTGGGTCAGCTCTCCTGGCTGGGTCCCCTCCAAGCCTCTTGCCCAGCCCTAGCCCACTGCTCTTGGGAAATTTAACTGCCGCCCAGGCAGACCCAGTACAGAGACACTCAGCTAATTTTGCTTCATTTACTTCTGGTTTTTCTTATGTTCTAATTTATTCTTAGGTAATCTATTTTAGTGGGACATGAACTGTAATTTGTTGATTATTATTATTATCACTGGAGCACTCTAATGAATTTGAGAGTTTGCTTAGAAAAACCTGTTGTCCACTTCAAGCTTACTGTTCCCTGTTAGTTCATTTTTTTATATCAAAGGCCATAAAACTTGGGTATACTCTCAGTTAAATGTCACTGATGTCAAAGGTGCAAAAATGCTCTCAGATACAATTTTTCAGAAAAGATTCCTTTTTGAGAATATGAATTTTTATTGTGGGTCAGATTTTTCCCAAAGCCATTTTTATCATGTTACTGATAAATTCCAGCCCATATTCTAATACATGCAGCAATGCATATTTGTGGTTTTGTGTAGCTTAAACCTGTCACGTCCATTTGCAGTGTCTCTTTTAACTATATGAATTTAAAAACTTTGCTTTTACATACAGAAGCAATGACAGTGATGCCAACATTCATCTCCGAAAAAGGTTTTCTCGTAATGCTTCTGAGGAGGTAAGTGTGGACATTTATTTATTGCTATTTCTCTGGTTCTCTCAAACTCCAGAAGATCACACACTGTAAAAAGGCCTCTAACAGTATGAAAGTCTTGTGACTTCTAATAATTTTAGTGCTAAAACCAGGCATAGTTGCAAAGTTTTACTGAACTCTCCTAAAAACATACTAAACTTTACTGAACCTTAAGCAAATTCACAAAGGAGTACGTAATACTACAGTTAAATCTGCTGTAACTTGAAATCTTACTTCATCATACCTGTATAGCTGCAGCATCTTGCTTGTTTGAAGCTGCTTTTATTTGCTGCCCCAGTTTCTTTTAGTTTTTGCATTCTCTGTATAATGTTGGCGCCCTGGTCTCAACCCTGCAAAAATGCTGGGTTTCTCCTGAAGAGCACTGTTTCTGAAAAACTGGGCTCTGTCCCTTTTCCTCACAGTAGCAGTGTATTATATTATCAGTAACAACAACTAATCCTAAAAGAATCTTAGTTGTAACGTGAAACTGCATCCCTAATGACAGAAGTGATTCACACTGGCTTCTTGAAAGCACACAATACAGCTGAGGTCTGGATTTTTAAAGTCAGAAGGAAGGGACAGCATCAGCAATCTGGGCATGCTGAGCAAGGACAGGAATATGGCCTTTTTCAACACAAAAATAAAATTCTGACCATCTTGGAGTTTCTAAAAAAATGCTGCCACCAGTGAAAGGAAGGTTTCACACAGATGCTTTAGTTTTGCAATACTGTCAGAGTTACTAGAAAGACATATGAACAAGGGAAATTTTATTCAACTGATGAAAGCAGTTGAAAGCAAAAAAATCTTATTTCACAACTTTTTTCCTTTTCTGTGTGTGCACCAGACTGCACTGCTGGATGTGCTGATGGAAAATATGTTTATAAGCACACTTTCATTTTATTTGAGCAAACATTAGATAGAATTTGCATAAAATACACAATTACCACCTTTGTGAGATGCTGAATTTTATTTTTGTTAATTAATCTATTCCTGGTTTGTTTAAGGAAACTTATGGTGTAAACGAGCCGAAGAGGACAGATATGGGTGAAAGTCCATTAATCATCGGGTGAGTGTTTCTTATTCAGACTGACTTTTGCAAGGAAGCCATAACTCCATGGGACTACTAGCAGTGATACAAAGGGGGCTGGAAATTAATTATAATGGTGGCAACTGTCTTCTGTAATGGGTCAGAGTCCACATTTCCCATAGGTGTGAGGTGCAAAATTTCCTTATTGCTCAATCTGTCCCTTGACTAAAATGCTTTTGATTGCCTTGAAAGATTCAGCTGTCTAAAAAAGATTCTGAGCATTTTCCCCACATGTTGGATATCTCAGGCTGAGAGAGGAGTGGGAGAACTTAAAATGTTAGGCCCTCTGGCAGCGATGACTCTTTCCAGGTTTGGAAGACTGTCAAAACAATGTTTAGAGAGATCAGTGCCAGGGAAAGCCAATTTCTTCAGTGGAGGGCTGGCCTCTGTTAGAGCATCTATGGGTTTTGGCAGTTTGTATGTGTGTTTAGACTTAGAGTGACTGGTCATAAACACATGCATCCCTTTGGTATTAGGGTCTAAATATCTTTAAGAAACAAGGATCACTTTAGGTTTTGCCTCTTAGCTGATACTGAATAGTACCTCTTAGAACTTCTAGGTAAAATGGTTGTTATATTTAGATGCAGAAAATACACAAAATATTATCAGGATCCACTGGGCTCTTTTTCTCTGTTAAAAAAAAAAAAAATTACACAAAGAGCTGTTACAGTTGTGTCAGTTGTACAATTTGCTGATATTAAGTGAATGTCATGTAATATTCAGGTATATATCCAGTAGGAGGCCCCAAGCAGAAAACCACCATTTTTCTACGAAAGTAGATTAAAAACAGTTTACCGGAGCATTTTTCTTAAAGTACTAGAAAATTATAAAGTGATTGTACCATTTTGTGCCTTTTTAAATAAGACCTTTCATTGTCTTTGTAAGAGCTCAGCAGTGCTGGCAGAATCCATCAGCCTTTGCCCTTATGAACCACAGCTGGAAATTTGTGAAGCTGAAATTTTGGAGTTGTCCTGCAAACCCCCAACTGCTAGTTGGTTTCTTGGTTGGAAGCCTTGGGCTTTTTCTGTCTAATATTCTAGTGACTAGCATGAGGGGCTCTGAAAGTAGAAGAATGGGGGAAAGTATATCAAGTCAGATCCAGTGTATAAGCAAAACTGTGGAAGTGTGAGATGCGTTTCCCGGTGCTATGTTTACTGTTCTGAAAATAAAAGGGCATCTTTTTGACAGGTGGAAATCTCCCTATATCAGAGGGCTGTGCTGTAATGGCACTTACTTAAACTACCTGAGAAATTGTCTGAGTTTTCAGAAGATTGAGTCTTACTTATGTTGACTCTGGAAGGAACACACTGCTAAAGCCCAGTATGCCCCTCCTAGTCCAGCTGGGGCCCTCCAACTGACTAGACTGAAAAGGTTCATTAAACTGCTGTCTTTTAGACCACCCCCTGATCTTCACAGTAATTATTAACACTGAAGGTTTCTTCTTCTTTTCCTTGCCTCTTACTGAATTCTCTTCTATTTTCAGGAAGAAAAAGGACTTGGAAGCAAGCGAGACTCCAGCACCAACTCATGAGATAACCATTTTTGAGCAGCCAGAGCTATTCTACTTCGTCATTTTCTTTTGGGTACTGGTCTACTGCCTTTTACTCCTTCCACAGCTTCTTAGCAACAAAGTTTGATCTGTGTGAGGTGTGGAAAATAAAGGGATGGTGGCTGGATTGCTTTGTGTATCTGCATATGAATATGTTTCTTCAGGTGAAGCACAAACAGAAATCCAGGACCTGGTATTTATGTTTATTATCAGGTTGTCTTCAATTCCGCTACTGTTGTGCTATGACAGTGTCAAAGCACGTTTTATATTATGGTAATTGTGTAAATATATATAAAAATGATCAGATTTAGTAGATGCGATTTTGTACATTTGTGCCTTGCTTTATAAGATGCTAAATAAAAACAGATAATTATCAGTAGAAGTATGAACAATTCAGAGCTCTAGTCTTCAAAAATTATTCTTCTGGCTTCACTTTCTTATGTAGAGCCTGATAGCTGTGGAAGAGGGATGGTGTTGACTTACCTCCGGATCTGACCACCTGCAAGGGCAAGGCTAGAAATGGTTCTTCACATTTTCCATTTCAAAGAGTTAGAGGCAGAGCTACAGGTAGTGAAACACACATCAGGAACTGATTACAGTTCCAGCAAAAAATACAGTGGAGCAACAAAATCAGGTTGAGGGTTTATTGGGGTAGGGAAGTTTGATTTTTTAAGATTTAAAGTAATTTTTATCCTTCACCTTTTGGGATATTTGATTTGCAGGAAAAATTGGGTATGAAGAAGTGTGAAGAACATATATGCTAGCTGCTTCTTAGTAGACTTTATATGGGAAATCTCAGGCCAGAAACTAAAGTTTTTTAAAAGTACCTCAGTGCTTCTGAGTCTGCTTTTGCTTCAATTTATTTGCTGCTTTTATTAACAAATCGCATAAAGATTTCTCTCTTTTGCAGATACGAAAAATAAAAGGTAATCAGCTTTGCTGAGGCTACTGTTAAGGCACTAGGGCGTGGTAAAAGAATTAGAAATATCTTTTAAGTGTCCAATTGAGAAAGAAATGATAGATGTAAAACTAAATACAGAAAAATGCTGACAACAAGTATTGACTTCCTAGTGTGACTGAAGAGATTCCTGTGGCTTATCCATGGGCACAGTTGAGCTACTTCTGCCTCTTGTATTTTTTGTCCACATCAATGATCACTTTAGGATATTTCATATAGGATTTTCGCCTGTGCTTTGTAGGACAAAAGAGAAGTCTTCAATTTCATAGCAGTAACTTCTCTCCATGTGACTATTAGTGAAGTCACTACTTCTCATTGGTACATTTTTAGTTTCACGCTGTGCTTTATGAGACTACATCACATTGCTGCTTTTATCTGAAAATTCAGAAGGTTGACTGCAATGCACTTCCTAAAATGAAGGGTTTTATAATTTTACAGTGAGTGAAGATTAAATAAAATAGCTATACATTTTACCTATTTTGTTGTAGCATAAGGTGTATCCCTAGCCTGGCTAAGTTTTCAGATGAACTAATCACACCTGGGGTCAAGATACATCAAAATATACAGCAATTTCTTTGCAGGTATTTAAAATCTGTCTGTAGTCATGTTATCTGCTGGGGCAATCCTAACCATCCGTCACACTTCATTCTTCTTCATAAGCTTTTTGTTCCCCTGAGATTTTCTCCTGAGCTGCAGTTAGAATTCAGTAGAAGTAAGGAATGACAAGAGATCTTAAACATCGAAGATAAAATTCTGAACACCTTTCAACAAAGCTGAAATCTTTCTTATTCTGTCCTGCCACTGTTGACTAGAGCTGGATTCACCCCGTGAACCTACAAATAAGATCAACTGTTCTTGAGGAAGAGATCCAAATGTCCCAACCTAATTTGGTTTAAATCAGCTTAAGTAAAAAAAAAAACAAAAACCAAAAAAACCATTTCTTTCATCTTGTTCACGAAAGCAGTCAAGATTTTGAGTCAGCTGATTTTGAGATCCATGAACTTGTTTGTGCTTGTTGTAGAAGACAGTGATACTTTCTTCCAAAAGAAAATCTATATAAGAATTTTTTGAAGGTGCTTTCTGGAAGTAGACTAAAATAGAAAGTTGAAGGGTTAGTGCTTTGTCCTGAAAGAATAAAACTTAGTACAAGAAACATATTATGCTTATCCTGAAAACCAGGGAATATGAGGCTGGGATACAGCATCTATTTAATAGCTGCAAGCAGCAGTGTACTACACTAGTTTGGAGCAAAATGTTGACAGTTTTCATTATGTTCCATTCTTCATAGGCTTCTTTGGTTTCTGATAACTTTTTCTGACCCTTTGTATCTTTACTCTGGTTCTTCCATGTTTATTAATCTTCAGCAGAGGATATTTGGAGTTGGATTACACTCTCTTTATAGGGCTTTACAGCTATCAAAGTTCAATCAAGTATGCTCCCTCCCTTCTGCTTTCCTTCTTCCTAAGAAAATTAATCAGGATGAGGAGCTCTTTGGATGTCTTGGCTAAGCAACTGACATCCATGAAGAATGGAAAGGTGAATGGGAACGCAGTGATACCAGAAATGCCATTACCCAGTATTTTTGTTCAAGGAGGAGAAAACTCAAGGTTTTCTTTGTTAACCTGCCACTGATGAACAGTGACTGATACATTGCAATGAGCAGTTTAAATGTCAAACAGCATCCCACAATTGTATTGATCATCTCCGCCAGTGATTCAATTGATGTACACTTTCCAGCCTATCCCACTGAGAGACAGAGACTGTGTCTTCCATCCAAAATAGATGAAAAAAAATACTAAACCATTCCATGATACTTGGTATTACATTGCTTTCAATTTTTGGGTTTGTTTTATTGTGGGTGTGCTGTAACAGAAGTAGTGTACCTTACCCAGCCATTCCATAGATGAGAAGATCCAGGGTGAAACAGTTAGAGTGATTGTATTGGTCAACTGTGCTTAGAAAAACTGAACTCTTCAAGAGTTTTGCCTTTACCTCAAACTGTAAACACTGACATCTGCATAAGCAAGAGGTTCCCCCAGTTAAACTGACTTGTGAGCCTGCATCTCTTCTTCCACAGTGCAAGATCAAATTCCTAAATGCAGGGGCCCTGTTCTGAAAACACTGCTTGGTTTTGGGGTTTGTGGCCTATCCTGAGCTACTGCCTATAAGCCTGATAATGAAACATTTATTATGGCAAAGCCTATTTTAACTTGCTGCCCAGAGGACTGGCTGGTTTAAACCCTGGTGGGCAATTCATTGTCTACCCATTTTCCAACAGATATGTGCACTGTCTGAATACAGAAGTTTTTGCTGAACTTTTGCCTGGGTTGAAGAATGCTAAGCTTGAACTGACCACTTATGGTATATGGATTTGGCATCTGAATTCAGATACACAGAGGTACTGATCTATTAAGACTCTAAAACCTGCTGCTTTTGAGCAAATGCGGGTAGCAGAGCGTTGTGAAGTGCGAGTGTCAGGAAGTGCCTTGAGGATCACTGGATAAAGGATGTTGGGTGTTCACAGAAGTAGCATTAAAGACTGAGTGGCAACTGTAATAGGATGGTTCAATGTCATTGTAGTCATGGAACTTAACTGCAGTGTTTCATCGTGATTTTATAGAAAGTGCAAGGAAAGATACACCATTAAAGACTGAACCCCACTAAACATTTATGGGGCAGATGACTTAGAGTTGAAGAAGTGAGTTAAACAGTCACATAATCTACAAACTGACCAGAATATAGCTTTTGCCAAATTGTAGGAAATTATCAGTGCAAATGCAGGGCAAACACAGACTACAGTAAAAAAAATGACAATCAATTTTCAATGCCATGAATATTTTTGAGAGATTGAGCTCTAAAATGTATTTTTATTGAGTTTCTAGATTGTAATGAATGTGTCTACAGAATTTTATGCAAAGCTTGAGAGTTCAGCTGTTTTAAAATGATTTTTTTTATATAGCAGTGATTATTTTATCTATATATTTAATAGAATTGTAAAACCATTTTAAGAGTACCTGTAAAATTCTATGTATGTGATATAATTATTTATTAATTATGACTCATGAGAATGAACATTAAGCTATGCATTGGTTGTGTCATCCATTTGAAAACTGGAAACTGCAAATAGGAGAAGAGCTTTTAATGAACAGCAGATCTGAAAAGCAGGGGAAATGATTGCATACATTTGTGTGATTCTTAAAGCTGCATAGCAATATGTCATTTTGTGATGTTAAACTTTCAGCTAAAGTTGCAAAATATACTGAGTGATTGAGCTACTTTCTTCCATTAAAACTTCCTGAGGCTGAAATTTCTACATGTTGATATTTGGCGTCTAAACACACTTAAATCCCATACATTTTCTGGACACTCTCAGTTTACTCCTGTTCAATATGACTGTAACTTCTTTATTCAAGTAGTGCTCCACTGAGTTTACAAGGGTACTATGCCATAAACCAGTGGGGGTTTTTAGGGTTCTCTACACTAATCCTCAAAGAATTCGAGCTTTAGGAGATTAATTTGGCCAGTGTATGTGGAATCACATTCAGCCATCCTAACACAATAATAATTATAACTGTGCATTATCACTTATGCTAGCTTTAAATACTTGGGAGTCCCTTCTTGCCAAGCACAAACGTGAATGCATCCAGTGATGTGTTCAGTTCCTCTACTTCTGTGGAAGTGAGTGCAACACATCTGTGTGCTAAGCACACACTACAAGATCTGGCCCTGAGGGCACTTAAATCAACATCAACTACATAGGCCGGGAAGTCGCTGAAGCCTATGCAATGCCCATGCAAATCCAATGTACACCAACCATACACCACTCACTTCAGTCACCTCCATTTTATACAGAGCATTTGTTTACCTAAACTCTGCAGAATCAACCCTCCAAAGAGAGGAATTTAACATCTACTTCCATCTTCAATCAAGAGAACAGCAGCAGGGAACAAATAACTGGAAAACAAGGATGAGGTTTCAGGCTGGGGTATGGCAATGGAAGTTCCCAAACTGCTACAGCTGAAAGCTCATACCCTGAAAATCGGTTGCCTGCTGTTTCCATTGAGCTAATAGGCAGATCTGAATGGAGGTAAAAACCCCAAAATCCTTTGTATTTCTGCATTGTGCAGGTTTTTGTCAGGTAAATAACTTCCCCTGGTACACCACAGATAACACTATTTTACAGCTGCCCGACCTACCATTGTTCATGTTCCAAGTTTGTATGTAAACAGGACATACAATATGGCTTGTCCCCACCCATACTAGCCTAAGATTATTAAGCCATTCATGCAGGAGAATGGGATACATGCACATTAAATTATATGGAAAAGTCCTGTTCTCTGTGGAGTAGCTCACTTGCTCTGTCCACAGCTTCACACAACTCCAGAGCTCACAAAGGGTGAAAAATTAATCCTTTTTTTTTCCAAGTGCTGTAGTCATTTCAGAGTTTTCTTAACTGAAATTGTGAAACATCAAAGTATTTCTCTCCTCCACTAAATGTAAGACATGGAAAACCTCTTTCCACTTCAGTGGCACATTTAACAATTCCTTTCCAAGCAGCTGCTACTGCTGATTCTGGAAAATGAGACCCATGTTATTTCTCCCCATAGTGGAGAGAAATGTCTTAAGTTTGTGTCTCTGGAACATAAAATTGGCCCCTGAGTGATTAACATATTTTTTCTTCATGAAAAGGTTAGAAGGACCAATAAAAATGATTTTACCTTAGTAAGAAATACTAAAACCTACCATTCCAAGAAAGGTTAGTTCCTGGTCATCACTGCTGTGTTAAGGCCAGGTAATATTTTATTCCCCAGATAGTATCCTTAATTTCACTGGGCCTTCCTGGAATCTCTTTGATTCACACAATGGATTTGATGTGTCCAAGGACTAGTTTGTACAGGGGTTCCTTGGTCCATGGCTATTATTAAGGCTGTAACAGAAAATCACTCTTGTTTATTTCAAAATGACTGGTCTGATGTGAATCAAGTAACTTCCAACATATATGCTGCTGAGTTCATGAGAGAAACAATGCAGTCACATTTTAATGCCAAGTAAGTTACACAAGTAAAATAAGTATTTTTTACTGTAATGAAAAATTCAACTTGTACTTTTGCCTTGAAGAAAACATTTTAGTAGGCATACCACCTTGTGCTATTGTATACCGCTGTGTAAAAAGCTGAATAAACTGTTTTACCTTTCTTGTTAAAGTTCTCTAGTTTAAACTGTAAAGTGCTAGATGGCTAAAGAGTTAATGAGGGACTTCTCCTAAATAAATAATTTCTAAGTAAGGAATGTAATATTTAAAATACATGTTTCTCTTTGGCAAGTGGTGAGGACTGATGATTTTTTAAAATGAGAACAAATGCTGGGAGGACTTGAGTGGTGTCCAGATATACTGAAGGAAATGCATTTTCATGTACTTTCAAATACATTTATTCTGAATAATTTCAGTCAGGGGCTTGTACTGGATGTTTGCACTAGTTGATCAAAGCTAATTTTTGTGAGAAAGAACTAAATTCTTCTGTATAGCTGGTAAACAAAATGTTTTTAGAAATTGTTATGCTGTAATAAGAATAGTATTTACTAGTGAATAGCTCCAATTTATTTTACAGAATCTCCAATTTTGAAATAAATGAACAGGCTTCCTGTATCTACTCTGTTACCTGTGGGTTTGTCTTGTGGATTCTAATTGTTCAGTTTATTAATTGTTGTAATTATATATTGTATCTGTTATATATATTATTTTATATCTATTACATATTTTCATGCCCAAAAACTAAATGCATATTCTAGGGGAGAAGACCCCAGTAAAGACTGCAAATTCATAAAGTGCATTGTTTCCCACTTACCCAAAAAGTGACTTTTCATTTTGGAGGAAGAATCTAAACTTTTTTTCTGGTCAACAAACAAATGGATTTAAAATTTTTAAAAAGGGGAAGAATTACTAATTTATTAATGCATAGAAACTGGCATTATAAAGGGAAGCCATGGGAAAGCTCACAAAAATAGTTGTGCTTAATTATTTACTGTTCTTACAATTTGTTTATCTGGACTGTTTCTATATACATGTTTAGACTTGGGGATTAGTAAATTACTAGCTGCAGTACCATTTCATATTTACTCTGTACTTCCCCCTACACCTTAAATCCCTTTGCAGTATATGAGAAAAAGAAAATATAATACAATAGAGTTGCAATACAGTTCAGAATCAGCCCCATGATGTGTGTCCTGAAAAATATATCTAAATTGGATAAACACACGGAAAAGAAATGGCATATGGGAAAGGTATAGGAATGCTTCCTCTCTAAAGGTTTCATGGGTATCATGCTTTAGGAGTTGTAAATATTCCTCTAATCCTTCTACAAAATCAAATCATCCCACATGTTTTCAAAGTGTTTCTAACACTCCTGCAGTAGTTGTACCTGCCTGTTGGACCAACCTCCCCCACACCGAAGTGTACATAGCAAGAGAATATTCATGGTTCTGTTGAGAATTTGGGATATTTGGGTCCAGTCCTGTTAGCAACGTAGACTCCCAGAATCATAAAACAGTTGGGGCTAGAAGAGACCTTTAACTGTTATCCAGTCTAACTGCTCTGCCATGAGCACCTCCATCAAAGCAGGTTGCTTGGAGAACTGTCCAGTCTGGCCAAATGTTTCCAGGGATAGGGCATCTACCACTTTTCATAACCAAAACTTTGGTTTTTGGTTTTGGTTTGGTTTTTGGTTTTAATTGGATTTTTTTTTTTTTTTTTTTTTTTTTTTTTTTTTTTTTTTTTTTTTTTTTTTTTGCTACTGACATTGTGGTTAGGAATTTGCAAGTGCACTGGAGAGGGGAGGGTGCAAAGTTCAAACAGCTAAGATGGGTCATCTCAGTGTGTGGAGGCAGAGTAAACTTCTACAGTGGTATGAGATCCAAACTTTAGTTCAGACTCAAACATAGTAAGACAGGAACCGTTGGACTGGTTTTCTTTTAACTACTCTGGGATAAAAGTAATTCTGACAGAAACTCAAAAATAATCTCCCTTATCCTTGCTGTGTAATCACAATTAGTGTAGCTTGAAGATGATGCACAGGCAGTGTTAGAAACACACTGGATCCATCTGGATCTTGGCAGAAACAAAGACAAGCACAGGGTTCATTTCAGACAAGGAGCCCTACACATGTGTACACAATGAGCATGCACTTGGGTTGTACAGGAGCCCAGACCTCCTAAGGATAACCTGTGCCCATCACACATATTCTTGTTGGTAGTGTGAACTGAAACCTTCATCCTCTCCTCAGGGCTCATTTTACCTGGTCAGTAAACAAAAGCCAGCAGGAGAACTTTCCAGCTGGTGAGTGGAGAGAGCAAAGCCTTTCACTTGAGCTGTGCTCTCTATGGTAATCTTTTCTTGAGTTGCTATTTCTACTGATGTTACAAGGATTATTTCCAGGACAGCTAATTGCAGCAATTTATGAAATGCCTTCTGTGACTAACTCCATTCCTTGGTGAGACAGTACCACTGGCTTACCACAGTCCTTGGCAAACTACTCTTTATCTTGGAATATCATATAACATATGATCAAAGCAAAATGCATAGCTCCATCTGCTGTAAATACTTTGAATTGATTATTTTTAATTTCTTTTTTATGGTTGCTCTGTACCCTGGGGAACAGATTTATCACTCTGCTGATATGTATTTTCTTCATGTTAACAAGAATCGACATACATATAGATTTATACATTGTAAAGTGGTATTTCTTGGTTCTCAGGCATAAATGAGCATTAACAAGGGTATATCTCAAGGGCATTAGGAACCCCTGTTAACTATTGTACGACAGATCTTTTGCATTGTGCCACTGAAGGTACTTGTGAAACTGCTCCGCTCTTTCAGTAAAAAAACCCATCAGATGAAGTCCCAGGTGACTGGAAAAAGGAAACCCTGCACCCATTCTTAGAAAAGGCAGAAAGGAAGAGCCTTTCCCCCTTGCTCCTCTAGTTCCCTACTGGCACACACCTGAAAGGAAACAGTGCAGTGCTCAGTTCTTCACAGGCTAACATAATCAGTAAACCTGAGCAAAACTTTTCCTTCTTGCTGCCCATGTTCAGGAGATGTTTTTAGTCACACCAAAGTATTTTCTGACTCCCTCCTTTTTCTACTTTTGATGTATTTCTAAATTTATAGGAAAATTAATCACAACATCCAAACCCATTGTATGTTTGAAGGCATCAAAAAAGCCAAAAATTATTTCTAGAGGAGTTGGAAGCCAATTTTGGTTTAAAAATATTCTCTCTCTGTGAGGCATTCCAGAACAGCCAACAGAATTA